AAAAAAAAAAAAAAAAAAAAGAAAACCTAAAGCCTCCGAATTCTCGACGATCGATAATACAGGCGATCGCTGGATTTGTTCGAAAGATGGGTCACCAGTGAATCATCGCGTTTCGCCAAGGTAGCGCATAGCGACGCGTCTATTTCGGTTCTCGAGGGCTATTTGGGGGCGGAGTGGCTCGAGGGGTGGCTCTTGATCGTCTATGATTCAACGTCCGCCTGATCACCAGAAACCCGTGTACTTTCCACATGTCGCGTCGCCTGTGCGTGTAAAATCAACGGAGGATGCCCACCTGGTCTCACACGCATGCTATTTTCGCGGACGACCGCGAGTAATCGTTCGAAGGACCCTGAAATGTGGGTTAGCTAGCTAGACGAAGAGCGCTGTGAAACGCTCCCTTGTCGAAATTAATCGACGTGACAAAGGCTGGAGCCAGAATAATAACGTTCGACAAATTACGTTTGACATCCCCTCTCCCATATAATTAGAATTTTCCTTTACTTGCAAGAGATTACCGCGGATATTTATGCAAATTTATAGAACAGTTTCACGTACTAACGATTAATATATTATATTTTACGAACGCTATATTATATTTAGTTTTATGAACACTATTATCTTTACGTGTTTTTCGCGTTTTTGCATCTTTGAATTCAATCCAAAATCCATCGCAAATAAATCGTTCGGTGAAATCGTTTGATTTTTGAAACAATGAAGAAACAGGTTTGTGAAAATACAATTTTCGAAAAATTACTTTCAAGTTAGACGATGTTGTAAAGGGTCGACGAGGATGGTCGTTTGATCATGTTCTTCGTACGTGGGTGTGAGTGTTTGTTTGCATTTTTCGCTTCTGAGAAACGTTCGTTATTATGAATTTTAAGAGGCGCGGGAAAGAAAAAGAACGTTTACGCGAATGCCACCGTGTAACTCGGCGAGTGGCTTGGAAAAAGGTATTTTTAGATCGGCGAATTTGATTCGTTCCTTTTAGCAAGCACGATGAGGATTTTAGCCTCTAGGATAGTTGGAATCTTGATTAGATAGTTGGAGAAGGAGAAAATATGATTGATTTGGGCTCGTTTTAAAGCATGAAGCCTGTACTTCCAAAATGCATCGATTCTAAGTTTATTCTAAATTATTTTTACATCACACAGTGGCTAGATAAATAAAGATATTCCTGTCGACTAAGAAAAATTGAAAAATCTTTTTCATGAATTCAAAGATTAAAACCACATTTACAATGACTTCCCAAAATTTGATGTATGTTTCCTCCGCCATTTTATTCAATTTTCAAGAAAATTCGAGAAATCGTAAACGTTTTCATTTTTTCCTAATATTCAAAGTTTAATAAATAAACGAAAAGAAAGTTCTAAGGGGTCGTCGTAAAGAGGAGGCTTCAAATCTATTGTAGACTTAGTCATAAAAAGAAATTTGTATGTTTTTACATACTATGACAAGTTGTAGCATCTTTGAGAAGAATAGAATCCTCACTTTACCATCTCGTAGATACTGTAAAAACTTTTTAAAATCAAACGAACTACTTTTGAAAGTAGGGTCTTCAAGCTTTAAAACGAGCCCAAGTTTATTACGATTTTTTTTTTAGTGAAATTATAACCAATATTTAACGTTCGAATATTAACGACAGTCGCTATACATGTATCTATATAATGTTGTTCTTTTAAAAAAAAATCAACCTTCTTCCAGGCAAACCTCAAACAAAAAGGAATAACACTCACCTGGCCTTGGCTTCGATGCAGCGTAGGGTGAATATTCGCGATCGAAGCAGAAATCATCGCCACGAAACGGATCGTTCGCCTCGAAATCGGAATACTCGAGTCGTCGCGCTATCACATTTCGTTCCGTTATCTCGTCGCGTTCTTCCGTCGTAATTCGCCTCTCGCGATAGCTGCCATCTGGGTAACTAAACGAAAGAACGGGGAACCTCGATTAGTCTTATTCGTGATATTCGCTGTTGTATCGATCGGCTCGATCGATTGGTGTGTCTACCTGCGATCCCCGATCAAGTTGCACGCGACCGAGCGATCGTGTCGCGTTGAATGTTGACGATTCACAGGTGTCGTTTTCACGTGGTTCTCTTGGGTTGGTAGAAACAGGTCCCTCAGAGCTACGTACCTGGGCGGGCTCTCTGTTGTTCTTTCGCCGATGTTTTGGTCCCGATATGTTCCGTAAAATGGAGAAGGTACACCTGAAATCAGGTTTAGGTTAGATTGGTTACAGAGGGAGGTGACTTATGGAGGATCAATAGTTGCGCTGTATTAAAATACAATGTTTTGTTTCTTTCAATTATTTTACATGCTCGAGTCTGCACTCGTTCACTCATTTATAAATAACTCAATATATAATTATTAATACCAATAATGAATCACATTAAATCGATTACTTTACACTCGTCGAATCCGTTTGTAAAACATTACAATTATGGAATGATGTATTTTTTTTCCGTTATTTTTTCCAACCACAGACTTGATTGTTCAACATTAAAAGAAATTTAAATATTTTTAGCATTATGACTATATTTAGTATATTTGTAGCTTTGTTAAGAAAATTAAGGTTTAATATTTTTCAGTTTTACAAAGTCTACATCAAAATCTGCAGTCCAGTGACAATATTAGTAAACTTGCACAATGCATATTGATTAGTGAATAATCATAACCCATAAGAAAGGCAGTAAACAAATATTTATCAAATGTCGATGGCAATGCAAATGGACAATTATAAGAAGAATCTAGGACCGGTATTTATCAACTGAATGAAACAAACGCGAATCGATAATCGTAGAATGGGTGAGATAAATCGTTTTCCAACATTGTTTGAATGTCAACGTCCTATGTTGATAGGAACCATTCCAATATATTAATTAAAAACACAGCATTTTTTATAAAAAGAAATGAAAATTTTCCAATTCTTATTAATTGGAAAATATCGTCGATTTTTTTCTTGATTTATTTGTAATTACGAGACGAACGAAAAGGATGCAACGGTACTTCCGCTCGATCAACGAGCTCGCTTGTAAAATTTGGTCGAACCAAAACTATTTTCAGCCACTGTTTGCATGCCAGACCTCACGCAGATTTGTAATCGTGCCTTATTACGTCTCGTTGGTTTCCGTGCGAAACGATTAAATGAATGATTACTTCTATTCGAACAATGATTTCCGGTTTGGATACATTGAAACAAAATGGACTGTATAAATTTTATTTCGATAAATGTCCTTGGATTAATAAAACATTATAGTTTTGTGATTACTGTCTCAAATATTGATATGTAATTATTATTAGTAGAGTTAAAGTTAACTACGTAGAAATTTCCTGTAACCAGACAATTTTTTCTATAAAATAAATACATCTTTGAAAGATTTGATTAAAGATAGAAGAAAATGTTGAATTTTTTTTACGTTTCTATATACTTTATATATAAAATTTCTGTATTAGTCCTTTTTCACAATTTTATAATTTTATACATCGATGATTTACAGCTGCATATAATTTTTTTTACTAAAGTTATATGAGAATAAGAAATAAATATTTTATGACGTATTTAACAATATACTTTCTTTTTCTTCGTTAAAAATAGTTTTGATTGTTGCTGCATTTATTGCTGAAATTAAACATACAATTTTTTTCACCAAAGTTAAATGAGACTAAGAAATAAATATTCTATGACATATTTAACAATATACTTTAACTTTCTTTTCCTTCGTTAAAAGTAGTTTTATTATTTCAATACAAGTAATTATATTTACGCACACAACACAAATTTACGTGTACATAATTCTCGCTTAAAATCAATTTGTCGTCAAGCAGAACGATCTACAACCCTTGAAGATAGAAGAAAGTTTCGATGGTTAGATCGTGTAAGAAGAAGCAAAGATTGCGCAGTAATATCTCGAACAGGCGCGATTTGATATCACGAACGAGCAGCCATGACGCGATTTTTGTAAAAAAAGAAAAGAGGAACAGTACCGAGATCTTTTTAACAATCGCAACCGCTTGTTTTTCTGTCGTTTATTCTTGGATCGTCGAGTCATATTTTCCATCGCATTCCGCGATTACCTTACCGTCTATTTTCATACCGCATCATCAAACAGCCTGTTCATCCTGCATACAAACTTTCGCGTATTCGATTCTTCCAAAAATATTAATTCCTCCCTCCCTGCTCCTCGCAAAATATATTTATCGTTTTATTTCATTTTAATTTACACGATCTATTGGCTCACAGTCTTGCTTTTGCTGAAAGTTTTCTGAAATTTCAGTAGGTTTCAATAGATTTGTTTAATACTTTTATACAGTCCATCTTTCGAATTCTACACTTTTTTGACGATTAATCCGACAGCGAATATTGTCGCGCGTTGTTTCGCGTGACTTTCATTATTTTTGGATGCAACAGTAACCTTGTTTCGTGCATTGTGAAATTCGAAGCAGTTCAACAGAATAGTGTTTCCAAACTTACGAATAATGTTACATAGATTCGCCGAACGTTGCCGACTTTAAAATTAGACACATTCTCCGAGGTACGGTTCGAGATTAGAAATCCCGTTCAAAAATGAAATACACCTGTTGCTGGTAATTCAAATAAATTCCACTTGAATTCAGACGAAATCATCCCTTTTATTTCCCTTTTGACATAGTGATCCGATTGAAAAAAATAATACATTAATCACAAACCAATCGTTGTTGTTATTACTATTGAAACGTTTAACCACGTCTAAAATACTCCGAAAAATTTTTAAAACACTTCAACTATTTTAATTATTAATATACTGTTCAATTATCTTAATTTTCTTTTCTCTTTCTCCGACACTCATCCAAGATACCCGAAATATTTTCTAATATTGTACAATTCTAAAATCAATTTCTTTAATATTCAATGAAATTGTACAATTCGGAGCATTAATTGCCAGTCATAATCCATTCATTTTCCATTATTGAATAAAACGTATTACAAATTAATCGTCGTATTTATTCTTTCAAATGGCCGAACATATTCATTCAATCAAGAATTCTCCATCTTTCCTTCGTCCAACGAAGCTGCGTAAAATATATTCGCGCGTGGATTGGATTTCACCGGGCCAAATATACACGATTCCGCGATGAGAGTGATTAACGAAAAGCCCAATTAACAAGCCTGCACGATGTGTTAGTAACACACCCCTTCCGAATGTTAGCAGCGACGCTGCGCTCTACATATTTCTTTTGCTCTCCGAAAATAAGTGGGTGCTTGAAATACGTATGACTAATCGTGCAACAATAGCAAGACGGAACAATGCGTATTCTCTCGATACGTTGCTGCGGCATTGAACGTCCCGTTCATTCGTAATTTTATTTTTTTTATTTTTTTCGTCTCCTTTTTTCGAGCTCGCCCCTTTTCCTTACCCGCGGAGCACTCATCGCGTGAAATAACGCGGAAACAGAGTAAGCGCGAGAATTATTTTTCTTATTGCTTCTTCAGTGCGATGCTTCGAATTTATTTGATCTGAAAATATTCTCGATTACGCATTGTCGAGAAAAAGTTCCCGCACACGCCGGTATTTATTGCACGTCACGATTTTAGTTTCGTTTATCGTTCGATCGTTGGATATTTCGATGTTTACGAATCGCAGAGAAAGAAGATTCAGACATTGTTGAATAATACGTTGAAACTCGTTGAATTTGTTTTCATTGAATTAGTTACAATATGGCTAGATTGCTGCTTTGTGTTTCGCGTAAAACCGAGCAGAATTTATAATCGTGTATATTTATTTTTAGTGTCGGTCACTCGCTGATGGTTTCAGGGCTGAATTTAGGATAGAATTAGAAAAATGACACAACCATCTTGTTGTACAAATTTCAAATTTTTTTTAAAGAATTCATTTGTTTAATAATTCAATTATTTAAATTTGACCTAGGTATTGACCGGAAGTTGAAACCTTTATAAGCTCGAGAAAATATAATAAACGTAAAGTGTAAATAAAACTATAAAAGAGCAGAATAAACAGAGCTGTGTAAATTTGTGTAATCTACATTGTAATGCTTTACAGCGATATGTTCAATTCTATAGTGAGTGTGAATAAAAGAGTTTTCTTTTCTTACGAATATTTCTATCATAATTTGTTCATAATCATAGATATTTCTAGAATCTTTAAATCATCATTCATCCCTCCTATTCTTTGCTCGTCGTCACGATATTGCAACAGATCTGTAATTATCCGATTCTAATTAACAAATTAAATGAAATTAAATTTTGAACGACAATTAAAAATTTCCAAATGTATTCTTTCAATTTTCTTTAATAATTCTTTCAATTTTTTTTATCTTCACGAATGAGGTGAACATAAATTTTGTGAAATAAAATTTCAAGCAGCAATTTGAAATTTCCACGTGTCAATAATTTTTTCCAATCTTCAATAAATTCCAATCAATTGCTACAGTGTCAAATATAATATCAGTCGAGTCTAATTTTAATTACACAAATCAAGCGACATTGAATTTGGAACAGCAATTCGAATTTTCCACATATCGATAATTCGTCCAACAATATTTTCTGTCCGTTGTCACGGTAAACTTTACAATTCCTTAGATGCTTCTTTCAATTACGCGAATGAAATTAAATTCCAGATCAAATAAATTCCAAACGAGACGAGACGTGTTAATAATACCAATCCCCTAAAACTACGTCATGCTGATACCCAATTATTAGCAAAAACACCTACCATTTCGCATCATATAGCCATCGATGCTCTGTCCCAGCACCGTATCAAAATCGCACCATTGCCAATAAAGAACAATCAGCCATAGAAACAGAGAAACACAGAAGAGGAACAGAGGGGCAAGGG